AAGAAAACGGTACACAAGTATGCTGAGTGTGTGAGTGATGTTAAATGTGCGCACCTGTAAAATTCGAATGATATGCAACACACACACGGCTTGTGTTTTTTGTTCCTTTTTTTCTACTTTGGTTGCGCACAAAGCACGAATAACAATTTTGGTTTGCTTCCGTCGTTACGACGATGTGTGAAGAACCTCCAGAGGATTTTGATCGTGTTATCGATATAACACTTCGACATCACCGATTGCATTACAAAACCGGAATATATTTATTGAAAATCATTTGCTGTTTGTGACAGTTTTCATGAAATCACTGAACATTTTCTTATGAAATCCCATCAAAATTCTTCGTTATAAATTCGAGTTTGTTGCTGATTGTGCGTCTTTTTGGCCAAGAGCTAACAAAACATATTTGTTATTTGGAATGACAATTTTGTTTGATGCGTACAACTGCCGCCGCCGCCTTTTTTCCACACACACACATAGATCATACAAGATAAGCAAGTTAACAACGCACACTTTTTGTATCTTATACAATTATCTGCCGATTTTGCTGGTGTAAAGCGAAATTAAACATATGGATGCACGTGTTTTGACACGAAACTTCGATTGTTTTTACAATCAAATGGACAATTTATTACTGCCCATTGCGTTTTACGCTCACACACACACACCATCGATGACACTCCAATTGTAATATTTCTCTTTTTTTGCAAGAGATCATTTCTAATTCCGAAACGAAAGTAAAAACGGTGACACGTAATAAAAATGGAATATCAAATGCATTTTATCTTGACACGCATTCATTAAATAGATACAGTTGCGGAGTATTACTGACTGCGACTGCAATTGAAACAACAAGAACTAACTGACGACAAATATATGTATCGTATATCACACAGCAATGTGCACCATACGCTTCAGTCAGATGAAATAGGCAAAAAACGAGTGTCGCGTATTAGCCATACCTTAGACTTAACTTGTAAATAGTTTTTAATACCTGACACGTGATCATGTTTGTTGGTGTTTTATTTTATTTATTTTTTGTTTCCATCACTTACGTTGTGCGCATAAAATGAACGTGGCTTATGCGCTTTCTGCGTGTGTGGCAAAAGTAAACACATATACACACAGCAAGAGAGCTAAGAGTAATGCTGCACTCTTAGAACAGACAAATTCAAACAATGAGATGACACTATGTTCTTAATCTTTCACATGATAAATTTGTGCAATGGCACACGCGCTCCGCTCATGTAGAACGCTATTTACATGATCCCACTTTTTGTATGTTTTTTTTTTCTTCTCTCTGTCTCGTCTCTCTGCCAAAACTCTATAATCGCAGAGATAAATAAACAAAGCAAAAAAAAGTGTGACTTTGGTTGGAACCACAATAACATTGATTTCAGGAGAGAATGCCTTCTTCGAGGGTCTTTTTTCTCTGTACGTTTTGTTGTTCTTTAATAAAATTACATTTTTCATTTAAAATAATGGCACGCGATAATGTAATGTTTATCGTGTAATAAGCCTATTAACGTATGAGTTATGACACATTGTTTGAGTGCAAACGTGTGAAATACAGTCACATTATATCGATTTCATAATTTCATGCTTCGTATAATTCATTGTATAATTGCAACTTTTATTCAGTTGTTTCAAACTACGATTCAGAAAGTGCAGTGTTTTTGTGCGGTTACACGCCGCTTTTCACATTTTTTAAAAAGTGTATATGAAAATGATATGAAAAAGCGTTTTTGTTTCCTGTTAAAAAAGAAATGACGTCAATAAACATTGGAATTCTAGTCAGACGGGTGAAAATCGTTGTTTCGATTATAGTTTTGATTACACTCGAACTTTGATTATTTACTTCGGCTGTAAAAATCATGAATGAATCTTGCACCATGAATGAAATTAGAATATTTTGTTTGATTTTCATTAATCGATTCATGATTTTGGTTGAGACGAACATTTCATTGACGGCTCAAATCTCATTGATTGCGTCAAAGCAGACAATGAGACACCGAGAAGAATGCAGCCATCGGCCCTCGTGTTCATTAAATTCAAGATGCGCGAAGAAAATTGATCGAAATCGAAAAATTCCACACAAAATGCGTATCATAATTCAATGACACAGCATTTTTACCATTGATAATGTGTGTTCTAGTTCATAACTGCGCATCGCTGATGAAAAACAAAATTAAGAAAAAAAAAACGCATTAATATATAAACGAAAAATCCGTTTAAAATTTAAACATCCTGCGTCATGATTCGTGGCAACTTTCGCTTTTTCTAATCGAACTTCCCATTTTCACCGCCGACGTGAGAATACGGCTGTACATTTTTCTAATCAAATTAATTTCACACTTGGAGATTTGGGTTCGTTTTTCAATCATAATTTTTTAAACGAACAATTGAAAAATGTTTTAACCGATTTAAACGCGCTACTTCGATCTATATTCTCAATACTCTCCATTTGGTCGGCTGGGTTTCATCAATCGCAATCTTGAGTGTTATAATTGAGTTTTGTTCCGAGCGTAAAAGATAAATGCAAGGTGATGCCGGCAGCGGCTACTGTTTTTATTTAATGTGTGCACGATGATTTTTGACTTTTTTGTTTCGGTTTGAAAAAGAAATATATTTATATGCGGTGTCTGCACGACCTTTATAAATGTGGTTTTCATCAAATGATGTTAAAAACCATCGATTAATTTATTAATTTCTTTAAGCAGAACAAGCAATATTCTGAAATTCTCATTTCTATTTATCAATCGGTATCTTTTCTATCTATTCGGTAGCATATACAACCTAAAGATCTTTGATGGCAGTGAATCAATAGAAATATGTAGGAGTTGATTTTATTGCCGCACTTTTATCGCAATATTGAATGACTGAATATGTGAAAGAATTTCAAATCCAAATTCGTTAAAGTTTACCGTTCCATATTGACGACGCCTAGGTGTTCGAAACAAATTTTGATACACGTGACGATCGCGGAAAAAAGCGTCAACCAAATTAAAATGAATATCGAATCATTTCGTACAAAGCTTGTTTAATTAGCAAACTGAGTCGAGTTTTTTGGCCATCGATGTCAAAAGTGATATTAAAAGTCAGAAATATGCATCGTAAAAATCTCATAAAACTTCGCACAATTCGAATGTAAATTTGTTTCGATAGATCATCATTTTTTTTACCGTAAACAGAGATAGTTTTTTTTTTTTTCATATTTTGGCATTCAAATTTAAGACGTAAATTACAAAATGTCATTAGTATAACAAAATTCCATATTTAGTAATCATATTTTTACGTTTTGGCCAAATTTGAATTTATATTCTCTCTTTCAAATTCGGTCCAAATCATACAACTATTTCAAGTGATAAACTAAAATTATGAATGAAATGTCTCAATAATATCACAGCGGACGGTAGTTCGCGCGAGTATCGAAACCACCTTACTTGGTATGATGAAAAGTCTACTCGCTATATATAATTTTGTTGGAAAGGTTCAAGTGCCGCGAAATGGATTTTAAAATTTTGAAGGTGGCCAAACCGGGTGAAAACCAATTTTTCTAAATCAGGAGTATATACATCATAAATCGGACCCCTCGGACCCCTGCGGTCGTATGAGTAAACTATGAAACTAGATTTCATTAGATTTTGTGTCCGTCCTCTAGTTATTTGGTAATCATATACTTACATTTGGTGCAAAATCGATGGTTCAACAGTTATAGTTTCAAGTGATAAACTTAAAATATGAATGAAACACCAAATTTTTTCAATAATATTTATGTTGATTCATTTGATTTTTATTGATTTTTTTGTCATTTTTTTTCTTCTTTGAATATGTCGCACGAATGAATTTGCTTAAATCTTTAATGTGTATGTGTTGTTTTTTTTCTTGTGATGGTGAATAAATTTGTTAAATTACGAGAGATATTAAGTCAATTTTTTTTGTGTGTTTGTTTATTCTAGCATATTTTAGGTATGGATTTGTGTTTATTATCCCACCTATATATCTCCTATAAAATAATCTTTAGCGGCTTCACCTATAATTCTTATTAACTTATTTGCTTTGAATATGTTTTCCCTTTACAAGTACAAGTAAAATATGTGTGTTTTTTGTATTAGGTTTTAAGTGAGGATATCTTGTTTCATCATCATCGATTCATTCAAATTCCTTCTTCTTTTATTTCCATATCATAAGTGTGTACAATAGAATGAGTAAAATTAAGTAAGTTTTATAATGTAAATTTTGACCAACTATTCGTTAAAATTTCTCATATCCATGGGGGTTTATATGATTTTTTGTTGTGGTTGTAGATAAATTACATTTCGATTAAGATTATATCATTTGTGTGTGTGGGTGTGTGTAGTCGTGTTGATGATTTTGTGATATATTTTGAGGGGAAGTGCTTTAACTTGCTTCTCTTTTTAAACATTAACGCTAATATCAACTAAAACTAAATACGATTTACATAGTGTACTTTAAAGTTGTCATTTTTTTTTAAATTCTATTACAATTATTTCTATTCGAGATAACTTTGTTCCAGCGATTTTTTGCTAAAATGTTTCATTGAGATTTTTTTTTTGTTCTTTCTTCAGTTTGATTACGAGGACATTTTTGAAAGAATTTTTTCTAATTTCCAAAGAAATCATTTACATAAAATGAATAATGAAAGCTTTGAAAACATATTCAGCCTAAAATTTAATTTCAACGTTTAACTACCGCTGCAAAATCAATTGCCAAAACTTTATGTGGCTCACCCCATTTTCTTTTAAAAATATGAGTTTTCCATTGAAATGAAAATACAAATCAGTTCGGCTGCCGAAGCAATGCAATATCCGCGCGACACAACGCGGCCGCAAGTTTTGATGTTCGAGCACGGTTATTGTTTTATCTATATAGTTCGTGATATATCTTCACAATTTTTCTTGTTTAAAATTTACATACGTTTTGTTGGTTATTTAATCACAGTTATGACTAGTTTTATTTTTTTAAAACGCTCTTTCTCATTGTTTTTTTTTGTAACCACATTTGTTCCATTTGAGTCACACGCACAGTGTCATCCACTTTGAAAAATATGTAAAGCAACTAAGTACAGGTGTAATTTATCAATATTTCGCGCTCTCTTTCACACTTCAAACGATTTCATCAGTTTTTGTGAAAAAAATGTTCATTATGATAAACATTTATATGTTACATACAATATAAATGTGTTTCACTTGGCTCACCCCATCACCAATCACTTTGTGCAGTGAGGTTGTTTTTTTGATTTTATGCGGTCAGTTCTTCGACAGGTTTATTTTGATCGTCACCTTTTGATTTTGAATCACGATTAACTGCTTTGCTTTCGTAGTGCAATTTCCACATGCGTGGCGATGGTGAATGATCGCGGTCACCGTTACGCTTTGGTGAATCGGTATAGCGTTCATCGCGCAAACTATTCGGGGAAATTTGTTGTTTATCACTATCAGCTGGCGATGGTGGATTTGAATATTGACGTTCATCACGATGACCACGTGACAATCCATTCGCATTCATATATTTGCTAGCTAGATTCATTGCTTCACGATCGAGTTTTTGATGTTCCAGTGTCATACGGCTTATCAAATGCGGCGGATATGGATGGAAAAAGTCTGAATGTCGTTGTAAAAATTCTGGATTTTGCAACATCAGCGGCATCGTTCCGTTGAATGGCAATTCCAATGACATTCGACGACCTCGTCGTGATGCACCACTCCATGTATGAATGCCCATGTGAACCTGATTATTTTTAATGGAAGAAAAATGAAGAAAAAAATTGGTTGTTAGAATCGATATCTTAAAGAAATTTGAAATCAGTTTTCAAGGAGCGAAAAAACGGCGTCTTTTTATAGATTTTTTTAAAGAAAATGTTCTCGACAAAAACATGAATTTTCGAATAAGTTTAAATGACGGTAGAAAATGTACTTGAAATGCATTTGAAATGAACATACCTTTAAATTTCCCTTAGTGGTGAATGCTTTTTGGCATACGGAACAAACAAAGGGTCTTTCGCCGGTGTGAGTGCGCATATGAATTTGTAGCGAAGACGTTGAGCTGAAGTTCTTCTGGCACAAATGACAAAAGTGCTTTTGATCAGCGTCATTTGAACTGGGTGAGGTGGCTGACGATTTCATGTGTGATGATGGATCCAATTTAATCGGTTGATTGAGTAGTGATGAGGTGTGAAATTGTTGCAAGCGTTCCAAATGCGATGCTGCCGTTTTCTCTGATTCATGCATTGGTGGCATTTGATAGGCTTCTTTTAAGCTGGTTGGAATATCTTGTGAATCGGATACTGTATAAAAGCGAAAATAAAGCAAACACAACAAACACGTTTAAAATCTCGTTCGTATTCAAAAAGCGGTGAAATTGGTTTGCAAAAATGAAGAAAAAAGGGTATGCAAGTGCGATACTTACGCAATTGTCGTTTAGCTGCGGGTTGATCGGCATCATCAGCGGTTGATTTTTGTCGTGAGGTGAGTTCATTTTTGATATGTTGTGGTGGAGACATGGCGCTCAATGATTGCCGCTGTAGATGTAAAGGGCTGTGACGTGATTGCAATTGATGCTGTCTTTGTATTTGTTCCAAATGATGTTGTCGTTCAAGCATCAATTGATAGTTGCTATCCACTTGTGATTGAAACGAACGTTCACGTTGATCGGCAGCAGCAGCCGATGCACGTGGATTTAGCTCAGATTCCGAACGGACACGCAACGATGGTGTATTTTTTACACTGTCCGGCGAAATATTATTTCGTGATTGTTCCAATTTACTATTTGAAAACATGTGCTGTGGCACATCTCGCAATTTGTGCGTCATCATATGCTGCTTCATGTTACCCTAAACACATTGGCAAGACAAAAAATATGGAAGCAAGTTAAATAAAGCTCTTTTCGAATTCAAAATTGAATCAAATAAAAATAAATAAAACCAAATGAAAATAAAATGAAAGAAAAATAAAATATACTAAATTGAAGCAGATTAATGATATTAACAGTTAAAGTAAGATATAAATTAATTGAACAGCTCTTTTTCTCTAACTGTGTGATGAGTGATATCAATATTCCAATATATAGTATATATTTATGTTTGATTAAAATAGAGTAGTTACAAACAAAATGCGTTATAATTTTGAATGCATTCCCGTATGGTTTTTTGATGCAGAATGTTTCACAAAATGAATGAATACGGTTATACACAACAGAAAAAATTGAAATCAATAAAGATTAAACAAAAACTAAATGGAACGTTTCTTTTTTGTTCAAAAAACTCGGTATATATATAAATGTATATGTGTGTAATGGGCCGCATGCCAATTCATTTTCAATAAACCAAGCAAACAAAGAAACAAAAAAGAACAAACCGTCAAAAAGACACGATTCAATCATTCAATCGGTTAGGTGACTTTTGGTTTACATTTTTTTCATGTCTTTGCGTTCGAATCTATATCGTTTTACGAATTTTGAATTTAAATCGATTTTTGTTTCGATCGATTTTCGAAATTTTGAATTTTCGCCAATTGGTATCTTTGATTTTTTTTTCTTTTTCAAATGTTTTTTTAGGGGGATTTTGATTCGTTGCTCTTTTTTGGTATATATGTATCTATGTGTGAGGACAAGGCATTTCTAATTGGTCATTTATTTACTATGTGGCAAATTTGCTGAATGTTTTTAGTGTGTTTAGCGAAGCATTTTTTTAAATTTTAAATCAATGCAAAACAAAAACATATGTTTGGTAGAGAGGTAAATATATGCATTCTGGATTAAAACATTCATATTACAATATAATTGATTAAAATGTTTATAAATTAAAAAAAAAAATGTAGTGAGTAGCATTAGAATAAAATAGATTTTTTTTTTTATTTAAATGGGCATGGAATTTGGCTCGATTCTTTTTTATTGCCACTGAATAAAAATATTTGGCTATATTTCATTTGTATTTTGGTTAGACAGTTGCGTTTTTACTCGGTATGTTTGAGTACATTTGTTTTTTATATACAACTTACATATATTTGGAAATGGAGGGATGTATGGATGAGCTCTTCATTCTATAACAAAAATACGAAATATTGTTTTTATCAGAAAAACATTGTGAAAACAAACAACAACAAGGGATTTTTTTTTCTTATTCTTTTTTTTCTTCCTGTTCACTGTTTTTTTGTCTTGTTTTTAAATTAATTTATAAATTAACATTTTCACTAAAGTCTTCGGTTTATCCTCTGAATTTGGTTTCTTGTTCATTTTCATGGATGGCGAAATGAATTGATGACCAATTTGAAAAAAAAATTATGTTTTTGCTTTTGTTAGAATTGAAAATAGATTTTACATGAAAATTCATCGAAACCAAAATGAGTGTGTTGAATTTGTCAATGCCACGTATGAAAATGATGTGCTATGTGTGAGAGTAAGTAAACCCACTGCCTCATCGTTTTACATAAAACATGCTCGAAAAAACACATCTTTTTTGTATGTATAATATGTATGTGTATGGAAACGCACAATGTGGTTGAATACCATTACGAAAAACAAATAACGACAACATAGCTTCAACGCTGTTTTCGCTGTGTTTGCATGATTTTGGTATTCATTTACTTCGTCTTTTTTTTCGGTTCGCATAAAAAAATCCAACCGAGACAAACATAAACTTAAATTTAATGAAGGAACAAGTTTTAATTGTCATAAAATTCTCATCGTCAGATCTCATCCGGACCGACGCTTCACTCCACAAAATTTCCATACAACTTAATAATAAATATTTTGATTGTTTTTTTCTTTATCTTTCTTTTATACGTGAAATTTTCATCAAATATTCAATTTCACTGTTGAATCAAATCAAAAACAACAGAAAAAATAATATTGTAATCGATATACCAGCCGATTAGAATGTACAATTTTGTGATTTTAATGTTTTTGTTCTAGCATAATATGGGTAAATTAGAAGCCGTCGGCATTTTTGTACGGCTACAGCTTTCAAAGTCAAAACTAAATAACTCAAGCAGAAAATCGAACTAAATTGCCAATTGTCGAAATTTCAGTTCAAAAATCAATTAATTTTCATTTTCGAGATAGATTTTTTTTTTTAATTCATAAGTTTTTTTCCATCCAACAGTGGAATAAAAAAACAAACAAACAATTCTGATTTTCTTTTGAGCAGTGAATAATTAACACATCACTCATTCAAAACAGAAAACCATATACACGCAAATAGAGAGCGAACAAAAAAAAAAGAACTTGGATGTGTGTGTGTCTATGCCGCGCACGCTGCGAGATTTTTGTTGATTGATTGAGAAATGAAATATACACGTCAATTATTGCACACTCGCGTGTGTGTGTGTTTGTTTTTTTCTTCTTCAAAAACGAAACAAAAATTCTGACCAACGCGTATGCTTTTATGGACAAGCATTTTTAATTTAAATAGTAAACCAGCCGATTGATGTATTAGACTGCAGGTTCTCACCATCTTGTTCTCAAATCTGCCTACTAATAAAAAATCCTATTGTAACACTCGTTCGATTCGAGCTTATGTTCTATTCAATTTCAGAACAATTTCACGCGTATCTCTCTCTCTGTTTTTTTTTCATTTTGCATCTTTTAAACAAATTTGCAGTGGTGTATGGAGTACTAACCTTTGTTGTGAATGCTTTATCACAAATGGAGCATTTAAATGGACGTTCCTTGGTGTGGCTGCGATAATGGATTTCGAGCGCTGATTGACAGGCGAATGTTTTGAAGCAAATTTTGCATGTTGTATTACCGCGAACACCTGAAAAGCGAACAAAAAAAAACCAACGATAAAAAACCATCATTAAATATGCATACTCAAAAGTCATAACAACCATAAAAATATATTCATAAAACCGAAAAGGCAATGTGCGCGTGAGCTATTTCTATGTTGTATTGTGTAAATGTCGCGATCCATTTCAACGGTTTATGTAACTGAACCAATTAAAATAGGCGCACGTTTTTTGTGGCAATTAAACAAATTATCGTTGAAAATCTAAGGCGAAATTTCTTAAAATTGTTTTATGCTCTGAAAAAAGGCATATTTGATGTGACAATTGTCCCAGGCGACGTAGAGAAAGGAGAGTGAGTGAGAGTGAGATAGAGAATTCCCATTTGAAATTCCTATTCCGAAAGAAAAGAAACAAAAAAAATGGAATATTAAGTTCTCAAAAAAGTCAGCCTGTTGGTTGTATGTGTGTCTGAAAAACGAACAAATTGAATCACGTACGCGCCCGCTGCACACATGGAAAACGACAAGACGCGATGAACGGAGTAGTCACATTTTACACACTTAATTAACATTTTCATCTAATTGCTGATAATTGTGCTACTAATCGCCTATTACCGCTCTCTTTTTTTCTTCTCCTGCCCGAGCTGCGTTTTTTCTTTGTCTCTCATTCTTCATTCTTTTGTGCGCACATTTTTGGCCTTCCTATTCATGTTTCTATTTCTCGAAGTTCAAATGGTGTGCGCGTTCAATGTCTTTTCTCTCCTCATTTGAAGTACTCTATAATCTAGAGTTCGCAAGCAAAAAGAATAAAACAATCGACGTCTGAATGTATATTTATAAGGCGCACATATGAATTTCTGACACAACAAAAGTGAGTGAAGTCACTTTCCAATGTGTGATTGAGGATATGGCATGCAATTCAACGAGAGTGATTTGATGAACGTGGAAAACGCACTAAAGAATCACTAGTTAATTACTAAAATGTCTGTATGTTAAGAACATAATGATTGCAACAATGTTTGTGGCCGGTCTAACTTGATTTTTATGTAAAATGGTTGAAAAGGGGATGACAAAAGCACACACGAATTCGATTCCTTTTTACAATGGCAGTCATCTTATAATGCATGCTCATTTTTGCTTATCTCAACCGTTTTTTTTTCTTTCTTTCTTTCTTTTAGTGTGAGCATACTATTTAGTTAAACAAATTCGCAAATTTATTATGATTGTTTTCTTTCATTGGCTTGACGACATTCGGTTGCAATGATATCCAATTGGTCGAGGTTGTGAGGTTCATTATACAATGAATAAAAAAAATGAAGAGCAAAAAATTTAAGTTCATTATAAGCAGAAGTTTATAAAATTATAAAAAAGAACACTATATTTCGTAACGAAACCACCCACTCACTTACGAACCAAAAAATGACGGCATAAAACAACGACAGATAAGCCAGATGTGCGAAAAAAATGTATATAAGCAGAACAGTCCATTGGTTATAATGAACATTAAAATTATAATTTAGATTGGAACAAAAACCCATCCACATCGGCTATTTAATGAAAAGTCGCGCATTAATTTAATATGAATGTGCGATCATTTATTGTTTATGTGAGTCAAAAAGGCAGAAAAGACATAAACATAATTTTGCTTTGCTGTTCTGCCAACGAAGAACTATTTTGCGCAAGATACACACAGCCGAACAGAGGAAAAAAATGTACACGGACGAGAGTTAAAAACCAGTTCTTAGGCCGACCGGCAATTCTTCGATCGAGATTTAAGCGAATAGAATGAAGGAAACAAAAAAGAAATCATCAATTCATGATCGTTACGGCAAAGTAACGATGTATCGATGATTTTTTTTTTGTTTGTGCCTTTTTGCCTTTTCGCTTTTTCCACACACACACACACCGCTCGACACTGCCAACCAACACTTTACTCAACAATATTTTTGATTTTGATGGCAAAGAAAAACATACACACGGAATAAAGATGAAACGAAATTGCAAACGGACGGGATAGTTGTGCGTTTAGTTTGCAATTCGCGCATACCACATCATACATATATCGATTGTCAAATGTTAAGTCAGAATATATTTTACATTCAAGTTAAGTTGTTCGCGATGCCATTGAATATTGTACGTGTTTCTCTCGGGTGTGTTTGTGTGCATTGTATCAATTTTATGTTCTCAGGTACACGCCAATAATAATTTTCTCTCATTGAATTTGTTGCGTGCTCTTTAGAGAGAAAAAAAAATGACGAAAGAACAAAAAGAAACATGCCGTCAGGTTTAATGAAAAATGATGATGATTTTCTGGGTTTTTTATTTCACATACTACTTTTTTTCCTGCCAATTTCAACTTGCGCAAAACAAAATGAAGATGCAATACGGCGATTTTAACTGCCACTCTCGGGCCGAAAGTCTCGGCTAGTTTATAATTTTCTTAGTCAGTCCCTCGCTCTCTCTATCTCTCTCGCTCTCTCTATCGTTCGGTCTCTATGTGTGTTCAAACCGAATGTTTTAATAAAAAAATTGCAGCAAGTGTGTGTTCGTTTCATTGAATAAGTTTAATTTGTGTGTTATTGAAACATAAAACAGATTAAAATTATTGCACTTTGAATTGGCGTTGATCGATCGGCGGCATCGATGCAGTTGGCAAAGTGTTTATTTTTAAGTATATATGAGAGAGGTCATATAAGCAACAAGAGATCTCTCTAAAGAATAGAAGAAAAAAAAACTTCCCTTTTTATTCAAATATTATTGCTATCTAAATTCGTATGTACAGATATAGAGAAAGAGAGTTGCAAATGTACAATATATCTCGTCATGTGCGATACACTTCTCGGTTTTGTGTTTTCGCATAAACACCAAAATAGTGCCATTAAACGAAACCATTTCTAAATAATAATGGAATTGAAAATTAGCTACTTTAACATTTTATTAGCTGCCATTGCAACCGAATGAGATATACGTGTGCAGTTCTCACATCTTTTTCGATCCGTTTCTGTCTTCCTTTGCGGCAAATGTGCAAATACATTAAGATAAAGAAGAGAGAGAGACAGAGAGAGAAAGAAAAAAATAGCTTTACCACAGCGACGAAGTCAATTGAAAATGAACGAAAAGTTATTGGTTTAGTACACAATTTACAATTGCAAATGCAACGCGATTTGCAAATGCTTTTTTTTACGCGATGTGTGTGTGTCGTGTGCATTTTTTTTACTTCTCTGTTCTGCCAATTCGAATCGGGTGCAGCAAATAGCACCGTAGCGTACTTTGAGTCGATTGGCTTTATGGTTATTATGGTAATTTAAAGTCATTGTAAATTTTCCTAAACGGTGAACACCGCACGCCGAAAAAGACAAATGAATAATCAAAATAATTGCCCAGTATATTTCGCATTTCACAATCAATTTGTGCATATATCTATAACTGGCCGGAAAATTGTGAATTTACTGATTTGTATGTGTATGTATTTTTTTTTCTCTATGGGCCGAATGCCAAAAATAGCGGAAAATTATGCCATAATTTAATTTATTTTATCAATTCAAGTAAGCAGCTGTTTTGTCTATTTGAATAAATGAGTAAATTCGACAAAGATTCTGATTTCGTTCAGACGAGTGCGGAAAGAATTAAATGTATTTAACCTACCTGACAAAGCCATTGGATTGAATGGTCCAATTGGTGCAACGGATTGTGCGAGCGAATTAAGTGCACCGCTCATCATCGATGTCGTTGTATTGATGTGATTGTGATGCATAAATGGGAAATTTGGAAACGCATTTAAGCCGGCCACGGCTGCAGCGGCGGCAGCAGCAGCCGATGTTGGCAATGGATTTTGGCCATTTTGTGATTTTGGTTCGGAGCGTGGTGTTAAATCGAGTGCACATTGTGACATATCGGATGGTGCTGGCGATAGAGGTTGTGGTGTACGTGGACTTGAGCTACGTTTCTCATCGACACTATCGGCATGGCTGGTGGCCGATGGTGCACGCGATAGATTCTCAATCGATTTGTTGTGATCGGACCGCAATGTACGTGATTCGCGTAATTCGCGCAATTCGCGTAATTCTTCGCTGCTATTCAAACGCGATGATATGTTTTGATTTGAATCGCCTGAAATCGAACCGGTATTTGATACTTCTTCATAGTTACTTTCTTCATCAAAATCTTCGTCCATCATCATTTCATCATTGTCACCATTTGATGATTCGGCGCTCATGCCTGGATGTAAACCAGGTATTGGGAATGCAAACGGATTCAAACCCATTGGAAAAGCGGCAGCACCGGATGATGGTGAAATTTGTGTGATTTCAGCCGCACTGATTTGTTCAAGCGTCAGATCGGTTGGTTCACCGGTATGCAAACGGATATGCTGTTGTAGTACCAATGAGTTTGAGTATTTTTTATGACAAACAGGACATTGATGAACGGTTCGTGTTGGTGGTTTCATGCGATGCACACTCATGTGTGTTTTTAAATTGCCTTTTGTCGTAAATTTGCGGCCACAAATCAAACATTTAAACGGTCTTATGCCCGTATGTGTGCGATAATGCATGATGAGCGCACTGTGACACGACAACACCTTATGACACACACCACATTCATTTGGTTCGGTTATTTTACTTTCAATATTATCAACGAATTGTTGCAATTTTGATGTTTCCGACGATCGATCCACTTCGATGAAACTCTCCCATGAATTGTCATTGCTGCCAGGTCGTGGCAAAAGTGTTGGAAACATTTTCAAATCATTTTGACTCTCATGGAAGTGATTATCACGAGCGGCCGAACCGACGCTGCTTGGTGAATGATGTTTTGATGAGATGCGAGACGATAGATTTTCCGGTTGATCAGCTTTGGGTGAATAGTTTTCCATGCTCGGTGTTGGTGACATTCCGTCGCTTTTATTGTCATCTTTCCATGATGATCGACGATGTGGTAGCGGTGATAAGCTGCGACGCTTTTCAATCGATTCATTTTGTTTTCGGTCGACCGGAGATTTTGAATCTCGGCCTCTTTTTGGCTTTTCAATTACATCACCAGTATGAGAATGTTCGCCATCATCACGTTCATCGTCTTTGGGCTCCTCTTTGATTTGGGATTTTGACAAATCGGTTGCTTTGCTTAAGTCAGCCGGTACGTCTTGTTCAAGTTCACGCTCTTTTTGTTGTTGCTGTTGCACAGCATCACGCACTGCACCAAAAAATGGATGAGCGCCCATTTGTTTTAGTAAATCGAATGGTGGCCGTAAAAATGGCAAACTGTGTAAGCTTTGTAATGATTGCAGACCTTGTAAATTGTTTGGTAAGCCAGGTATCGGAGGAAATGGTAAATTCGGTAAGTTTAATGGTGATGCCGGAACGTTTGTATTGTTTGACGATGCTGGCGGCGATAACGGTGCCTGTTGACCCGGTGGAATCGGTGGCAACAATGGTGGATAAAATTTATCTAAATGTTCTGGTATTGGATTTGGATTCATGGGAATGTGTGGAAATTTTTGTGTATGCCGTTGGAAATGAACTTTTAAATTGCCTTTTGTTGTGAATCGGCTACCACATACATTGCATCGGAACGGTCGTTCGCCAGTGTGGCTTCGAATGTGTATTTGAAGTGCTGAATCTGAACCAAACACTTTGCCACAATATCGGCAACGATGTTTGAAAAATGGTTCGTTTCGTCCTTTTCCATCGTTCTTAAATGCCATTTCATCGGTTAGTCCACCTGATAAAATGCCCTTTGATGCGGAGTCAAGCACTTCTTCGGCACGTTTTTGAAGCATTTCTAGTGAATTAAGTCCGTCCATTGATGATGGTTCATCATGATTTGTAATGATATTCGATGAAAATGGTGAGCTAAATGATGCTTCCATCGCAGAAAGTGCATCGTTTCCTTTGCTATCATTTGGATCGAGTGGTTTTGATGCGTCATACTCTTTGCCACATCGATCGTTTTCATTGGTTTTATCTTTTTCTTGTTTTTGTAATTGTTGTTGTTTTAATCGCAATTTTTCCTTTTCAATTTCAATTGCTTTCTGTTCTTCTTCATATTTTCGTTGCTCTTCGGCCATTTGTTCTTCCGATAATTCACCCTCTTCTCGTTCATCATCACCATGTTCCATTTGATCAATTTCATCATCGTCATCGTCACCATCGGGCTTGCCCGATTGCGATAACGATAACTGTGATTGTAACTGTTGAATCAATTGCATTTGAAACAATTGCTGATGCTGCAATGTGAACAATGTTGACTGCAACAATGTCAATTGCTTTTGTGCATCTTCGTTATCACTGTTATTGGTCATTGCAGCTGATACTAATTGTGCCATCTTTTGAATGGCTTCCATCGAAAAGTATCCACCACCGGCCGCCGCACCGAAACCATTATCAAGTGATTGCTCATTTTTTGTGTCTGATTTTTCAGTACCATCATCATCGTCTGCATCTTGTTCGTTGCTATTGTTATTTGCAGCGTCTTCATTGTGTTTGGACATTTTTGTAACATCGTCGTCATCGTTACTTGATGCCAGTCCATTTGTTGTATTATTTTCTAAATTTTCATCGGAACTGTGATGTGTTTCTGTGTCCATTTCACCATCCGATGCACTGTCTTTATCTAATTGTTTACGTTCGTCTATAGCGGCAGTGGCGGTGCATGTCGTTTCACTTTCAATAAGCTCCGTGCTCGACATATTTGCACACGACTCATCAGTCAATGTATTTGTTTCAGGCAATAAAACATCTTCCTCGGAACAGGAACTTGTACTGTCACCTAAATTAGATTACACGAGAGACGAAAAAAGACGTTCGAAATTTATACATATTGAAAATTTATGTCAATATAAAAGTAAAATCGAAAAAAATAAATAAATAATTCTCATCATAAAATGATGACGACCACTACAAAAGCGTTTACTTTGTTGCATCCTAACGGTGATCAATACATACAATTATTTTCATACAATTTATTTGCTCCGAATGCTTTTCAGGAAATATTGAATTTCAAAATGTTTTTTTTTATACATGCGATTTCGTGAGTGTAGTCAAGCACATATCATGATTTGTAGATTGTCATATGTGTGTGTATGCTTTTTATTGGGGGTAATATTTGATTCAATGTTACGTGAGAGCTGTACAATTGGTAAAATATCACATTGAACTTTCCGTGTCTCGAATTTCAAAATTGACACGGAAACTATAACAATATCGAATTTGCGCAAGAGAGAGAGAAACGAAAAACGGTTCAAAGGATCGAAATTGCATGGATTTGCACGAAAAAAAAAGCCACAAAAAAGACAAACACTTTTTTATTTACATACAATAAGGCAACAAAAATCAAAACAAAATAAATGAATATGAAGTGAACTAAATAAATGCACACAAGCTCAAACATCTCTCGTTGACATTGTTTAATATCAATATGTTTATAGCAGGAACAATGTCAAAATAAGAGAGAGAAAAAGTGGCAGAAGAAAAACAACACAGCAACACACCGAACCAGATTGAAAAAGTAACATTTGTACGGCATCGGTTGGAAACACACAAAATGACAAAAGAATCCTACGATAAAATTGTAAGTGTTGTGCATCGCACAACGTGTCTCACTGTGTGTGACATTCGGAGTGAGATGCTCTCTCAGTGTTTGTGATGCTCTTTTTTTCGCTTGCTTTCACGACGACGATGTCGACGAAAAAAAAAAAATATTTGGTTGCTTTTGTATCGCTTCGATTCTCTTTCCCATTTATTATATTTCGCTCGGGTTTTAAGACTAGCTTTTTTAACATTCGGCCGAAAGAAAAAACTGAAACTTCTTACAAAAACCAACACCGATTTATTTTATGTGATGCGATTATTGTGGCATCTTTCGAATTGTTTTTTCTTTTACTCTTTTGTCGTTGCCACAGAATTCCTGTCCTCAAAAGCGTTAAATTTATGGTTGATATTGTCGCGATTGATGGAAAGCCTTTTTACGCTCACATGCGCGCGTACACACACACACACTCACCAAATCGAATGAGAATATGATTTACGATTACGTTGATTACGAGCCTTTTGTTTTTTGGATAACAATGCTAAGGCAAAACGACTCGAAATAAATCCTTTCGTTTCATCGCCAAAATATTCCAAAAATTGCGATAAGAATCTTTTGATAGATTTCCAAGTAAAAATGTTCGGATTGAATTTTTTCGGTTTTGAAATTCATAATTGTATACTTTGCATATTTCCAAAAAATAAATCGTCATGCGAATATGAGTATAAATTGATTCCTTCGTTTAACCTTTTCTTTTAAAAAAGCCACACAGCCATATTTCTGGGTAAAATCGATCCTCGTTCATTTACGAATTGGTAAATTTTTCGGTTCACACGGTCGACCACGGTAGATAAGACCAAAGTTGGGACAAAAAACCTTTTAACATCAATGACAAATGGGATATTAAAATAAAACAAAAAGTCCACAACTCAAAGCTTGTTTCATACTCAAGAATTGTTTTTTAATAAAACTTCATAAAAACGACGGAATTTGAATCTTTTGATTTACAGAGAAATTTTTCTGATATGGTCAAATAAGAAGCAAGCAAATACGAGCGTGTTTAATTAATACGGTATGTGCGTTGAATTGTGTATGGCAAATGGCTTGAAAATGCGTGTGGTTTTGATGTTGAAAACTTGAAGTAATCGCAGACAATATAAAAGAAACCAGTGAGTGAAAAACATATTTAAATGTTAATAAGCTCATAAATTTGGGTTCGGTTTATGCGCGCATACACACACACACATACAAAACAAGCACCTATGAACATTCTATTTTACTTTCGAAACAAAAATATTGGCGATGAGTGTGCGAGTGCGCGAGCGCTCACTCAAGTTGTCATCGTAATGACCCCGTCAAATATCCCTGATTATTATTATTTTGTTTTTTTGTTTTTACTCAAATGGATTTTTACCATCATCCAATAGGCAACAAAGTCGCAAAACACGCTGTTGTCGAATCATTATTTTAGCGATAAATATTTTAACTAACTTGATGAAAGTTGATAATTATAGCATTTCAGCCTGGTGTATGCAATGCCGGCCACAAATAATCACGTAAAAAGCGGAAAAATATTTATATGTGAATAAAAAAAAACACATTTTCTTTGGATGATCATATTTTTGCCCGTTCTATTGACGTTTGAGTTAAAAGCTTTTCGGTTTGACCGTACAAAATGCGGTGAGGATTGCCTTTGTCAATCGGACAGAGCGAGAGAGTAAATATGAGAAAAATATTCAAATTAACAAATTAATGCTTTTATGATTGGTCGAACCGAATGATTGTTTTTATAAATGGGCCCATAATGACAATATGGTTGAAAATGAATCTCATTTTTTTCTTTCTTGTGTTGTGCGATCGCTAACGCGCATTATGCGTGTTACTGTTTTGACTTTCATGTCAAATAAATTATATCATTTTATTTGTACAACACCAAAAGTTTAGAGGTAACTGAGTGGAAAGACCAGAGAGACAAACAGAGAACGAGAAACAAAAAAATCACTTATCAGCTGAATATTATCTCGATTGAGCGAAGAATGAAAGAAAGAGACGCTAACATAACCGATTCAGGTTTGTTTTTTGATCTTAATTTACCGCAATCATTGTTTTTCATAATCATCTTCGCAATTTTGCCTTCTTAATTTGTTTCTATATCGTTCAGCACATCGTAACGCTTTGTTCATTCGAAGCGAATCGAAAAAAAAATAGCTAGTCTTCTTCTATTTGTCGCCCAAATTTATGACTGTAATTATAATGTATAATAAGTCGTTTGGAAGATTATTGAGTGATACGACAGAAGCTAAAGTGATATTTTCATTTCAATTTACAGAAGTAGTCATCGAATCACTCTCGCGAAGCATTCTTTTTTATTTTCGATTTCAGGATCTTTTCTCGTTCCGTTGCTTGTTGTCGTTTTTTTGGTCTTCTTTATTTTGGTCTTAATGAAATGCACGTCATATAAGAATTGAACCCGAAACAACGGCCACGCGACAAATATATTCATTTTGGACAGATTGACACAAGATGCTACATTTCAAAACAAAAACAGTTCACGAACGATAAACTCTCACATGTTTTTATTCAGTTTACATTTTGGATTTTCAAATGATTGACGCTATAAATACATCTTCCGAACAAACGTAAATAAAAGGCAGTGAACATTTGGTATAGATTTCGGTATCACTAAGTATAATTAGAAATAACCATAAATTAAAATCATTCCACTAGACGCGTTGATTTGTCTCTTTTGTTCTTTGAACGAATGCAACAAGGTTCGATGTTATTAGAATTTCAGCGTCTTAAGTGGTCGATATTTTGGCTGGTTATGTATGCATAAACAAACAAATTTAATGAAAATTGTGCTTAGATCACTTCCGGATGAACGAACAAAAATTATGCTTTATATAAAAAAATAATTTAATCAGACAAACATTTCGATTCTCGAAATTATACAAATTGAAATTACTTTTTAAACGACGACACATTCAAAGTAAACAGAAATGCGCTTATTGCGCGACACAAACAATTACAACAATATATCAACAAATTGAACAAAATGAACAAACCTTTTGACATTTTTTGATTATCCTTGGTTTTTTTCAATATTCCATATTTGACGGTTTCAAATTGGATCATTTTTGTTTGCCACACTTCTTCACTTGTTGTTCAGTCGATTTATCAACTAAATAAAAATTATTACTGAATGCTGGGTCGATCATCAATTTCGGGATTCGACGAAGCCGTTTCTTTTTGTTGCTATTATAATGTTATTGCTAAGCTTTTAGGAATTATTGCACATACGTTAAGTTAATGTAATCAACAGTTATTTTTTTGATATATATTTTGTTCCTGTCGTTTTAAGTTATTTACAACACACACTTTTCATTTATAACTGAATTTGCAAAATATAAACCATAAGGCAAAAAATGAACAAAACCAGAGACGAATTTAAAACCGAAAACGAATTCTCTTTTTTATTTGCTATTGTGAAATATATAAATATATCGCGTTTTAATTCTATAAATCTATTTTGACAATGTTTAATATGCTACTTCATCTTTGTTCGTTTTGCTTTGGCAATTGCATGCATGTTTCTCTCTATTCGTCAAGTCTATTTTTTTTCGTTTGTTGTATGTGTTCAGTGTTGGTTTGTTTGATAGCACACTGTAAGCACCAGAGATCAAATTAATACACCGCGAATGAAAACTTTTTATATCGTCGTAATGTTCGTATTGTGTCACATTAAATAACTTGCACTATTTTCATTAAGACTTTTCATAACTTTTTGTTTGCTATTTCTTTTTTGCTTTTCTCTTTGCAAGTAAAGTTCACTATGTTCTCATAAATATTTTTTTTTTGTTCAATATATTCATCGAATTAAATTCAAAATCATAATAAATAAACGAAAGCAAAAAAAAAGTTATTTTATTTTTTAATTCGAAAACACAAGATTTTTTCTCTAGTCTTTTTTTTATCATTTAACACACCGTCAATTGTGATTTGATTTGTTGTAATAATTTGTAGTGATTGTTTCTTGTTTTATTCGTGAGCGGTGTGCGAGCAAACGCAAAAACTCAGAGGTTTACGATTACGCGACAACGGACAAGGCAGAACTGAACTGAAAAAATTCGGTGCGATTGAATGGAACGTAGAGTAGAAGCAGTCAGTCGTCTTTTCGTGGTGAGAGTGTATGGGTGAGTATGTGTGTATGTTTTTTTTTCTGTTCAACTCTCGTGTGTCGTTCGTTCGCTTAAGAGCGAGATATGAATTTTTACCGACAACATTCGAGATGATTTGTTGTGTATGAACAGCACCCGAACGCTGTATAATGAAGAGAAGAAAAAAAGAACCAACAAAACATTGTGCAAACGTACACATAGTCTCTTACACACATACACACACATCCAGGCCACATAAGCCAATGAATGAAGCGACAATAGAATACAAACACCCAACAGCAACGTTGCCTTTATACTGTTTACTATTTACATTCACAAACACACATGCACGTATCGTTGCCGGCACAGAACATTATCATCACCCAATTTGTGCAGAGCAGCGGCAGCAAGAGGTGAAAAAAAGCGAACCATCGTCGGTGGAGAAATTTCTCCGCATATGTTGAATATGTTACATACGTAGTCTCTTGCGTACAATATTCCCCGTTTCGTGTTGTACACTTCTCCTTTCGGAAACGTTGAGTTTTATTTTTACCATTCGTTCGATAAAATTCGTCGTGCATCGGCCCTGGCTGACACAAATACATACATAGTACACATCGCTCTCGCTCTTACTACATCACAATCTGGTTGGCATTCAACTAAAAATAAATACGACACATTCATAATTTTCTTTCGTTGGTTTTCATTTTTTTTTCCTTTTCGCTTCTCGTAAGCATTGTTATATTTGTTTTTTATTCTCTCTCGATTCTATTATGTTCGGCTTTGATTCGATGTATGAATGCGGCCGATACGCTTTAGGACGAAATATAGGATAAGCAACACGCAAATACATACATACGAAATTCGATTCGATCCGATTACAAAAGATATGATGATGACGATGACGAGCCAAGCAATAAAGAAAGAGCAAAAGGGATCGAGAAATTGTGTAAGTGTAAGAGAGAGTGATGCAAGGAGGTATGAAGAGAGTAAGCAGTGCGACTCTGAGTATTGTACCGTCAGAAATATTACATATTTTTATAAAAGCATAAGAAAACGAATAAACGAACTCGCTGAAGCACCGAGCTACACACAGATTCACAAAGAAAATGCGAATTGTTCATGTAGTGAGAGTTGGAATATATGCTTCGATATATCTCGCTCACTTGCCGTCGTTGCCCGAATACCACGAGCTCAAAATTGTGTATTGTGATTGTGTGTGCTTGTGCGCGCTGTTGTGTGTATGCACAGGCACACACACGCACACAAGAGCCATATCATCAGCAGCAACAGCAGCAGCAGCGAAGAGAAGAATAAGCAGCAGGCAACTGTAGAGCAACAGCAGCAGAGATATGAGAAAGAGAAATATATCGAGGCAGCGTAATGTGAGGTTGCTGTGTCTCTGTTGTTGCTAAAACTTTTATGATGGGCAGGCGGAGCGTTATTATATTTTATATTTTCAATAGAATATGAAACATCGAGGCGGAGCATATTTTTGGTTATAGTATGCTATATATACACCGGGTTTATTCGTTTATTGTTTTTTTTTTTGCTGTTCTCCGTTCATCGTTTGCTTCGTTCGCTTCAATTTTTGTACATAAGTATTATTCATTTTCATTTCATACAGAGATGTTATATTTTGCCCGATGTTGCGTTTTGTGGCGGAAAACTCGGTGAAATGAGAAGGAGCAGCAGTGGCGAAAAAAAAATTGTGCATGGAAAAAGACGGAAAATGTTAAGAGAGAGTTTTGCACAGGCACATATAGAAAGATATGAATTGAATGTGTGCACCTTTTTTTTTCTATATTTCGAGCATAGAATTTTGATGAGTATGCGTGTATGAAGCATCGGACGACTATAATCACAATGTGAAGGGTTTTTTTTCCGAATGTTTTTCCCGTCTAATGTACAGAGAAAGCTGAAGCGAATTTCGATAGTGAGTATCGCTTTTTTCGGTGGATGATTCGATTCAACATATATGTATAACATAATACATCTCGGAGTCGCTCGCTCGCTCTGCGTATGAAACATTGTAGTTATGGGACTCACTCCGGTTTTTTGTATACATGTCAGCAATGGTGGTGGTGATGGTGTAGTCAGTTTTGATCGTAATGTCAATGCATTGGCATTGGTGGCAGCACACATAAATCGCAATATCGCATCCAAATTTTATTGACAACTAGACAGAGATGGAGCGATAGAACGCTTCAACATATTCAATCGCATATGTACGTTTGGTGTATATGAACGACTTTCGTTCATATCGATGAATCATAATTTACTGGAAAATAGAAAGAGATACGAAATGGTAGACGATGGGCTATGTTTTCTTCTCTCCATCTACACATAATATATCATAATCATTTACGTGTTTCTCTTTTTCACTGACGCAATTTCGATTTTCAGTGGGGGATTTGTACTTTTGTTATCGATCCACTCGATTTCGATAAAATTTCTATCGCTCGCTCACTTGCTCGCACATCGTTTAATCTCATTGGTTGAGAATTCTTCATAACACCACATAAAAAAAAAGTTGATTGCAAAGCACTGTATTGACTAAGATGTACGTGGTTGCTTTGTTTTCAAAGATTTTCCGATGTGGTTATTCTACGTGGGTAATAACTGAGTTTTATTTCATTTTTTGATGGCAACTTCATTCAAATGGTTTGTGACGAGTTTTCGTCGAAAAATGTATTTAAAAAAAAAAACATTTATATTCTTGATTATTTACTTGTTTTTTCGTCACTCTTTTTATTTGAAAAAAGAAAAATCTTATTTCTTATGAAAATCAATTTTTTCAATCTTTTTTGTTACGCAATTTTTTCTATTTGTTTTTTTTTTTTTTTTTTTCAATTGAAAATTCCGAGAAAATTTTTCAATTCAATTCTTTTTTCCGAATATGAAAAATTCGATTCCAAGTGGATTCTTGTCAAAAAACGCGTCATGCATGTGATGTTTCGTTGAGCACGTTCATTTTTGTGTAAAATCGTGTCATTTAATTCCGTATCATTTCGTTGTGACTCGTGTCGTTGCTTTTTTCTCTGTTTCTTCATCGGCTGAATTCTTTCGTGTGTTTTTTTTTTCATCGTCACAACAAGCGTAACGTCTTTAGCATGTTGGTGTGTATCTGTTTTGAGTTCTAAGCTCGAAAGACATTCACCCTGAAGAATCACATGTTTGCGTTTACTATTTAGAAATTTAACGAATCGATTTCTGTTTGTACTGACATCGACCCCACAACACTCAACTCTCTCTCTATCTCTCACTCTTTCTGTCCTGTTTTCATTGATGTTTGTTCGGATTTTGCATGCATACACTATTTTATATTGTGTGTCTACCAAATACAAATACCTTTCAGCGTTTTGCAACGCGATTCATTTGCCTTTTCTCGTATGGGAATTTCGTGTGTATTTACTTGTGAAATGTGACGTCTTTTTAAAACGACACACGGCGTCGAATGTGTATGTTTTTCGTTGTTGTTGTTTTTTTCGGGGTTTTCCTCACCAGCACAAGTAAATGAACGGTTTCTATTCACAATGTCATTTTCTATGATTATAGTAAAAGTAACTCGACTATTGCTGCAAAGGATACCGAAAAACATGGCGTTAGAAATGTCTGAACGATGTTTTGCAGCGACTGGCAATGTGCAAATTTTCCGGCGAAAAATCCACATTGCGTTTTACTTGAACACTTTTTCGATTGTAGAGTAAGAGTATCGAATGAGTGAACGCGACTCGTTTACCATTTGAATCAAATAGTGTTTGTGACGTCGAATAGCGGAAATGTGACAGCGGAAGTAATTTTTAGGGGAATTGATGATATTGTACTCTGCAAACGCAATCGATATCGATTTTCTTGGCCCATTTAATTGCTCTATTACATTGGCAAGCGGCGAATATGGTCAATTGGTCGCTCTTGCATCGTTCGTTTCATTTTGAATGTCATTGTAAAAATATCGATTTTCAGCTTGCAATTTAGTTTGGCAGACGGTTTTCGTGACAGTTTTTCGGTGGTTTTCGGCGAACTTTCTTTCGATAATAATAATATGGTATAATGAATTGTGTCCAGGGAATATTGGCAGGTGGCACAAAGATAACAAGCTCGATTGGGTCAGTTAAATGTATGAAGAAGAGAAGCGTCTCGTTGCTTTTAACTTTGCCTTTTATATTCGATTTTTTTTTGTTCGTTACAAAAAGAAATCACATACATTGAGTGTGCATTGTTATTGCAAGAGAAGAAGGATACAATGGTCGGACAAACAGCGAAAAAGACACTTAGTGTAAAAACCGTATTTACATGTTTTTGTAGTAGCAGAACATTGAGAGTTGCAAAGAGCAGTTGGGATGGTTTTCAGTTGTTCACATGTATGCGCGCGCAATTTCAATTAAAGCTGTCGGTCGATGAACATAAATCTTAATAATATCTCTTGTTGTCGTTTTGTGTGTATGGTTTTTTTTTATTTGGACGTTGTCGGTCGCTTGTTTTGCTTATAGTGATTGCTGCTGTTGTTGTCGCTGCCGCTGCACTGTTGTTATTTCATATCGCATTTTTGAATACTCTTTTTTCTCTTTCTCTCTCTCTCTCCGTGTGTCTCTTGTTGCTCGTTACATATTCATACACATATTGAAGTGTGCGATGTGTGCGTTAGACTGCGACTCGCACGCTCTGCAAATGGGATTGAATAATGCTTATGTTATACATAATTGTGAAACAG